TGTCATACTGCAAATGAGTACTGGAAAAACACAAGTGGGCTGGAGAACAGGAGCTGTTGTATCCCTATTCAAGAAGTGAAACCACAAGGAGTGCTCCAATTATAGGGGCATTAGGTTACTGAGCCTCCCAGGTAAACTCTAAATAAACCTGCTAGATAGGAGGTGCTACGGAATAAATGACTCCAAGACACAAGTAGAGCAGTGTGGCATCCGAACAGGTTGAAGCTCGTCTGACCATATATTTGCCGTGCGCCAGATTGTTGAGAAATCGTGGGAGAACGCCCATCCGGAGAACCTGTGTTTTCTTGACCCAGAAGAAGCCTATGATCGGATCCCACGCTGTAGTCGGCGGTCATGCCTGCGACCACACGGGATAAATGGACAGCTGCTAAGGGCCATCCAATCGCTGTATTCTGATAGCGGTACTGCGTCAGAGTAAATGGCGGAACCTTTCAACGTTGGCATTGGTCCCCACAAAGGCTGCGTCCTGCCCCCTCTCATGTGTGTGAGTTGTATATGGATAGAATAGTCAGGAACAGCCAAGGCGATGAGTGTATCGGTATAGGAGATGTTAAGTCGAGAAGGTTGCTGTTTGCAGACGACCTTGTTTTATAAGCATCTTCTGAAACTGATCTACAGTGCTCCATGGAATGGTTCGCAGCCAAATGCGACGTGACCGGCATGCGTGTGAACGCATCTAAAACGAAAAGCCTAGTGCTTTCTCGTTCTCCTGCTTTGCTCTCTTCAGATTAACGGAGAGGCAGTGGAGCAGGTGGAGAAGTTTAAGTTCCTCGGAACTATATTTAGTAGTGATGGAAAACTGTAGGAAGTGATCGATTGGCGAATTGGAGTAGCGAGTGGCGTTCTGCGTAAACTAGCCCGATCCAATGTGATTAAAGCAGAGCTCAATCTGAAAACTAAGCTCAAGTTTTTTGTTCAAGTCGATCTCTATCCCCATGCTTGCCTACGGTCATGAGTCGTGGACGATAACTTAGAAGCTTCGTCCGCGGAGAAGCTGCAGAAATGGGTTTTCTGAGATGGGTCGCTGGTTTACGCGTTTCGACATGTCCGAAATGCTGACATCTGGGGAGCCTTGATGTGCAAACATTGCTTCTCCAGATTGAGAAGTCACCGCTGCAATGGTCTGAGCATGTGTTGCGAATGCCTCCAGAAAGGAAGGCTAAACAATTGTTTCTTGCAAAACCCTGCAGAAGGCCCAGAGGACAACCAAGATTAACCTGGTGCAAATGTACGAAGGGAGTATGTTCCAGGCTCCATTTGTCTTCTGCCGAAGCTCAGACTCTGGCACAGGATCGAGAACGTTGGAAGCACTGTCTGACGCGCTGTCTCCAACGAGCAGCCACAATAGTTAAAAAGCATCGAGAACAAACAAGAAGAAATACGCCGAAAAGTAAATCAATTATAACAAAAGAACAGAAGCACAAAACGATTCAACGACGTATATAGTGATTAAGTACAGGGCCAGACCAGAGAGACCAGTTAGAGACGCATGCGAGAACGAGCAGCAGATGTTGTTAGTTGTCTCGGTAGAGCCTCGAACATATCAGAGAACAATATCTTCCTAGTGCCAATATGAATTACATTAAGTTTACTACAGCATCGTGTCTTCATGCGCGTAAACGATCTCTCAGACAACAATGAAAAAAGGGACGACGTCATACGCAACAAATCTGATTTGAAGGATTTAAATGCCGCTGTAGGTACTGCGAAATACGAACCCGTTTAAATATGACTGAAAAAAGATTTCAGAATCGCTGGCTTATAGAACATCATTAGTGGTAAGCAAAGTAATCTAGTCTAGCCGAGAAGAAGCCAGTAAAATGGGAGATGCTTGAATTAAACCACGTTTGAATGGCAAATCAACAAGTGCTACTATGTCATCGTTCGACGAAAAGACCCTGACAAATGGAGATGTTACGACGAAACATCCATAAGCCTCGATCCGACCCGTAGTGCACATCGACCAGGAGGTCAGCATGCAATATGGATAAGAGGTAAATGCAGATGCGCATTCAGAGGGGAACTCTTCACTGCATGCTACAATACCCTGCATCTTTGCACAACAAGCAGAAGCGCTGCAAAGCGGAGACTGCAGCGGACATCATACACTCCTGATAACCTCAAAGTGATGATCACTAAAAACAACTGTGGATATCTGTCTTCACATAAGGGTACTCAGCAACGGCGACGAGCTAACTGATACGCTTTTCCGTCATATCTTAACTTCAAATTTTACTTCCCTCTTTTCAGCGCTTGTCAATTTTCGTAGCTGTAAAGGATGACCAACTGAAAGACATGCCCGTAGACCTGTTTTTTGAAACGTTCATTTTGATCTGCGTAACATTTTGTCCAGTGCATAAATGGAAACGTGCACCAATTTACGCCACTCTTACGGAGGAAACGATTTACTACGGTCACTACATCGAAGCTGATTCAAAAAACTTATCAAAAAAGCTTAGAAGCACTGGATATGTCTGTCAAGAAAGACAGTTGTGAAACGTTGTACGTTCAGACCATTTTAGCTCTCATTTTACCAATTTTCGTTCTTTCGATATTACGTAACTGTCGCTTGTCAACCAGGGCGACATCTAAACGCTGTAACTTGGTGCAACCTGATGAAAAGAAAATGGGGGCTTCAAGCATACAAATAAAACATCTTTCTCGACGGAGCCAATTCAACAGCCACTAGCAAATTTGTATGCTCTTTACAGGACAAATGCATTCTTCATTTGCTCTTTAATCGCCTAGAAAACAACCTCGTTCCAGTTCAAAACTCTGTACTCGTACACTGCTCTTCATCATTTTTACAACGATTGTATCTACTACCTTTCCTATTAAATTTCCTATCTGTTGCCTTTCCTATTAAATTCATGAACTACGTCGAGGGCACTGTTGTACAAGAAACTCTGAAATGGTCAAAGGACTGAGGAAAGTAAATGGTTACGACCAGAACATAAGCCAATTTAGCCGCTATGTCCATACTCGCAATAAGTATAACCGAACACCCCTGGATCTCTTATCGCATTCTCTGCGCGCCAATAAATATCTGATAGCCTTATGTCAAACTGCCAAGTAATTATGTTACTCTATCACCTGACCAAACCTGGAAAGCACATGTTCAGAGTCAGTTGTGAATGTGCTGTCGATCGTCATATGACGTAAATACAGTAAGAAATGTCAATGCGCAGCATATCATCAGGAAAATTGCCTCTGCGCGCATTCCACTTCTTCGTAGCGTAGTAGCGCAGTAACTAAGAGGTCGACTTCGAACTCCGGAGATGCTGGGTTCGAACTCGCTGAATGGACAATCTTTGTCTTAGCCACTAATTCCCTCGAGCAACGAATTCACGACGCGGTGCTTCGGCGTAACCAGACCAGAAACGAGTAGAAATTCCGGTGACTTGCGAATAATAGGCATAGTCTGGTTTTCTGATGCGGCCATGGCAGAATGGACGAAGGGTAAAGCCACGTTGTCCAACGCGACTGCCCTTCATAAATAACTGACTATCCATTG